CAGGAAAAATATCTTTTATTCTGATGGCTACAACAGCAAAAAAAGGCCCAACAACTCCCATACTGTAAGGTTTGAGCCAACTGATCATGTGCACATGACTTTAACCGCATTGCTTATAGAAGCAGGAAACAGAACTGCTACTACTAAGCAGAGAAGGTGCTTCTCCACGTAACCAGGCAGCTTTGCTTCTCTCACACTGAAGGATTTCAGCATTCTCAAAGTGAAGATGAATGCAACTCCTTTTGTTTTCTCCTTCCTGCTCTTTCCTTCGCTGCCTGTCGCTTTGCTATGTGATCATTTATGATACCAAAAAGCAGAGAAAGAACTAAATTCTCAAAGCCAACTGCTAAATTTAGTTACTTCTGTTAACGTGGCACATTTGTTCAGAGAGAACAAAGTTTATATGGTGACAGGTAGAAAGAACCACAGCAAAAAGTAGATAAGCTAAGCAGCAAACACAGTTCTCCCTCTTGACTTCCCCTCCAAAATCAGCTGCATCTACAAGGAGGAATTGCCAAACCACCACTATGTGAATATCTTTCATCTGCTCTGCAGCACAGGCAGACTCCAGCTCTCTCCTGCCAATGAGGAGACGAGAAACAGCATTGCTGCACATGGACAGCAATAGCATCTGTCAGAGGCCACTGCAAAAAGGAGAGCAGCGGCCTCAGCCAGTTCCCCGCAGGGTACAGCCATACTGCTGTTGTTCAAGTAAAATAAGCTTGCCCAGACCAAAGCTGGCTTTAGGATTATAACTGCATATGCAGTCAAAGGAAAGAAATCCCGAGGACCCAAGGAAGCCGCTCCTCCCCTGTGGCAGCCTGCCCAGCGCGGTACCTGCCGCAGCACGGCTGTCTGCCTCCGTGGTACATGTGCTGCTGAAGCAACGTCCCTCCTCACATTGAGCACCTTCAGCTCTCTGCTCCAGAGCGTTTGCCGGGATGGGAAACCACCCTGCAGTCCCTGAGAGCCATAAATGTACTCTGGGGACAAGTTCTTTTGCAGCCTTGTATTTACTGCTTTATTCAGCTTTGTCACCTTCAACTTTTTGGCTCCCAACTAACAGACTTTGAAAATACCTCTATAAAAATCTTAAAGCAAATCACTAAGTTACTCAGCATGTTCCCAGGTACAAAAGTGTTTGGTTATTAAGCGTTGGGTTTCCCCATGCAGGCGCCGGCAGTGAGGCCTCCAGGCGCAACCTGTCGGGAGAGGCCGGGGCACCGGGTGCCCCACAGCAGGCTCTGGATGGTTCCGAATGGTTCCTCAAGGTTCTGCAAAGGCAGTGGTGCCTCTGTGCAAATGTCCGAGAAAAAGCAAACACTGTGAGGGAAGAAGTGTGCAAAACAGATAGGAAGGGGCTCCAGGTAGCAGGGAGTGTCCCCTGCAGCCTGTGCAGAGCCCATGGCAGAGCGGGTGTCCCCACTGCAGCCCATGCAGGGCTCCAAGCCGGCACAGGAAGTGTGAGGGGGGAGCAATGGAGAGGAACTGCTGTGGGCTGACTGCAGCTCCTGTGCTGTTCAGGGGTCGACTGCGGAACGAAGGAGAGGCTCTGAGCCTGGGGGAAAAAAGGGGACAGGAGATGAAAATAGTGCTGATCTTATTTATTTAGTTTTTTTAAATCACTGTCTGAATCTCTTGTAGGCAAATAAATTAATTTCACCCAAGCTGATTTGTTTTGTCTGTGACAGCACCTGGCAAGTGATGTCCCTGCCTTTACCTTGGCCCACAGAGCTGTTTGTCAGTGAGCAAGAGGGTGGGAGCTGTCAGCTGGCCAACATCAGCCCACCACACAGAATTTGGTTAAAAAAATATCATCACAGGAGTGTAGGACATCTCGTCCAACATTACACAAAGCCTTTTGGGCCAACTTCCAGTTCATTTAGGCCTTACAGAAGAAAACTATGTGCAGGAGACCCCTCAGGAAATGAAGCAATAGTGTTTGGAATCTAACTACTAGAATGCTGTTGGGGTACGGAGTGACCATTATGGCTGACATTTCTTTTGGACACAAGACCTTAAAGCCTTTTGTTATAAAGAATTTTGTGGCCACGAAAAGGGCACACATGATGGCATTGGCACATCCTGGTTTCTGGGATTCACTTCTCTACTGATGTGGTAAGGAGGCATGAAAGCACCAGTGTTATGAAAACTTACTAATGGCTAAAAAAAAACCCTGGAAATTATGTGGAAAATATTATTAAAAGGAAGTCATTTAATCATATTACTTCACTTCTTAGCTTAACTTTGGATGTGGAATAGAACCAAAGGGGAATCATTAGTCTGTATGCTCATTTGGTATGTTTTCTACTTTCCTGTCCAAGGCCAATGCTGCATGATAGAACTTTTCCTTGAAAAAACACAGGAGTTCATTTTCAATCTTGATAGCTACTAAGACAAACATTTTGAAAATAAGATTGCTCCTAACTGAGGTATTGTTTTAATATACAAGATACGTGAATTACCCTATTCATCTCAATGGGGAGTTAACTTCAGGAACTAATGCCTTGCTAAGAGTCCAAATGCTTTTAGCACACGTGAGTGTAGGTGTCCATTTCACTTTCCCACAAAAAATGACTGCAACTGGACAGATTATCTTACTAATTACCAGAGCTGCCAAGTGAGCAAAAAACATGAAAGTCGCCATCACCGCAGTTGTATGCCTGTTCTCTCTCTGCAATATCTCTTTCCCTGTGAAAGGCTGAGCACCTGTGATACAGCTCAGGGGGATACCAAGCTCCAAGGGGTCCAGTTCAACCCTGTGATGATGGCATGCACTGTGGGCTTTTTTCCCTTCACAAATCTAGATGACATTTAGGAGGATGGAATGACAGTCTGAGCCAGTTTCTGCCTCTGTCTACTGACGCGCATTTTCCCCAGGGTCCTGGTTTAACAGGTAGTTCTAACAGAGCTCTCTGTCTTTCCTGACAGTGTTAGAGGCAGGAACCATCCTGTTCCAAACACTGAGGTATCTTTGCAGGGCCACACTAGACTCCAACCTTTGTTATCAGCAGGAATGCACGTGGACTATATTTGCAGTCTTGCCTGCAGGTCCTAACTAAAAGCGTCTTTTTGTCTTCTCGAAGAAAATAAGTCTGACACACCAAGAGCCAGTTGCATACAGATCAGCACAGGAAAATACTCCTGCTGTGAATGAATTCCAAGAATGGATATGTACGAAAGAAAAAACAATGACAGGTATCTGATAAAGAGAAGAAGGAAACAAACATCTGTCAGTTTTTTAATTAGCAGCTAGATGTTACTGTTGTTACAGAGATCTATGGTTGAAAAGCCCTTTTATTGATGTAAAAAATGTATGTGTTTGCATTAGAGAAAGCAGTTACATCACGAAAGACTTTGGAAAAATGGGCACTTTTCTCCTGAAAACATCTGCACTGTAAGTAAAAGTATAATATATTTGTTTAACTATCTGGCTAAGAGTGTAATATGTAACATCCCTGAGATAATCATTAGAAAACTCAGCTTTTCCTGAGATGGCAGTTAGAGCCTAAAGGACAGAGACAGACGCCTCTTCTCCAGGCAGCATGCAAGCAGGAGCAGACAGCCCTGCAGGGATTAGCCAAGTCCAGACATTATCTCCTCCTGTTCTCAAAAGTCTGAAGAGATCACATGGGTCAACACCATTCAGTAAAACCAGCCACCATGGCTGGGGGGCCAGGGCTGACTGCAGTACGATACTTAGGCAGCTGGACAGGACTGTCTGGTGAATAATTTCTGCTCCCACAAAAAAATAAAAATTGTTGCTATTACTGTCAGGGAATATTTTAAGGGCATTATAAAAGATAAAGCCATTACGCTGGGTGTTGAAGGCTCACAAATACTGTGGAGGGCTGGAGGCTTCTGGAAGCAGATTGAAGTGTATTGAAGTGAAGATTCAAGAGTAGGGGAAAGCATTTGACCATACATACCACCACCCCAACTCTTAAGTTCCTAATGTTCACCTTATCTGCAAAAGTATCATCCAGTCTGGTCCATTACCAAACCCAAAAGCATAATTGAAAATAACATCCATATGCAACAATTTAGCATTGAAAACTTTGTCGTTGGCTGCACCTACAAGTTTCCTATTGTCTAATAAAATCATCACATATTGACATATTGCAGTATATGATGCAAATATATCGGACAGAAAGTTTCTGCATTCACCATAATTCTCAATTAAAAACAAACAAACAAACAAACAAACAAAGAACAAGAGGAAAGTAAAAGCCAAGTTGGCAGAATGGGAGTCACATAATCACAGAATATCCTCAGTTGGAAGGGACCCACAAGGATCATCAGCGTCCAACTCCTGGCTGCAGAAAGGACCACACAAAATTCAAACCATATGTCTAAGCATTGTCCAAATTCTCCCTGAACTCAGGCTGGCTTGGTGCCATGACTACTTACCTGGCCTATTATCCTTAATTTGTTAAACAAATTGAAAAGCCTTAGGGAAGTAAAGACATCTTTGATGTTCCACTTCAGTCTCTTTACCTTCCCCATTATTTTATAGAACTTATTGCATCATTCTTTTAAAGAAACTTCAAAAATTATTTTAAAAATCCGCAAGGAAATCCCCAAACTAAATAAAAGCTTTCTGATCACCTACTTCCCAAACATGCCGGTCAGTTGCCTAGGAAAAAATAGCCTCACAATTATATCCAAAAGCTAAAAGATCTAATGTAAATGCTTCCAAGACTTGGTTGCCTCAGCAGTATAAAAGTACACCAGGAGTCTTTACACGAGAACATCTCCCCAACAGAACTACTAATGTGAGCTGAAATTACTACCTGGTCAGTCATAATAGATCCACAGTTGTATACAGTAAAGTAGTTCTTTTTAAAACTATCAAAACTATAATCCATTGGTATTTTAAAATAAATAGACAAACAAAAATAAAACCCAAACTCTTTCTGATGTACCTGAAAAGTAATGGGAGGCAATAAATGTCTGAACCACAAAGCTTAAGTTAAGCAGATCTAGGCAGGACACACTACCTGGTGTGTGAAGGTTATCATGGTTGTCCCAGCTGGGTTCTCCCAGTGGCTCCTCAGCTGCGGGCTCTGGCTCCACACCTGGCAGCAGTCTAACCTCTTGGCCTGGAACACCGTGGCAACTGTTGCCATCTGCAACACAAAGCTTTTACAAGAAAAACTAAGTGGAAGAAAAAGTGCACGTGCTGCCATGAGGATTGAAGAAGACCCACTGAGTACTGCACAAGATACTCATATGCTGCACCTCCCTGATATTTGCTCCAGTCAGGAGAACCCAAACCCTCACTGCCTTCTAGCTTAAATACTACTAGCACCCAGTTAGCTGCCTTAGTCAGCCTTCATCCAAGCACAAATCTCCTTCAGATGGTATTTAAATTTAGATTACCATTAAAAGCAGTTGATAAGTAACTGCTCAGAGCTTCAATTTAATCTGTTGACTGGGTCTGCCAAGAAATATGAGGAGGTAAAATATTTGAAATGCATTACATACTTATCACAGAATCATAGAGGTTAGAAGGGACCTCTGGAGGTCATCTAGTTCAACTCCCTGCTAAAGCAAGTTCCCTACAATAGGTTACACAGGAAAGCATCCAGACAGGTTTTGAATATCTCCAGAGAGAGACTCCACAGCCTCTCCAGGAAGCCTGTTCCAGTGCTCTCTCACCTTCAGAAGCTTTTCCTCCTGTTCATACGGAAATTCCTATGTTCCAATTTGAACCCACTGCCTCTTGTTCCACTGATGGGCACTGCTGCAGAGAGTCTGGTCCTATTCACATGACTCCTGCCCATTAGATACTAATAAGCATTGATAAGATCCCCTCTCAGTCTCATCTTCTCCAGGTTGAACAGTCCCAGGCCCCACAGCCCCCTCCTCGTAAGGGAGATACTTCAGGCCCACAAATAATCTTTGTGGCCTTCTTCTGGACTTTCTCTCTCTCTAGAAGTTCCCAATCTTTGTTAAACTGGACAAAGTACTCCAGGTGTGGCCTCACCACAGCAGAGTAGAGGTGAAGGAGAACTTCAGTGTTGGCCACACTCATTTCAATGTGCCCCAGGATACCGTTGTGCCTCCTGGCCATAAGGGCATGCTGCTGTTAACCGCTCAGCCACTTAAAATCTTCGTACATGCAACATGGTTTACAACTATTTTTATAAGGATTAATACAGAGCTATACATAGTGTACACTAAATAATTTCCTTTAATATTTTCTTCAGATATTAAGTGTAATCAAGAGAATACTTTCAAGATAAATCGACATTTGACAGGCGAAAAAACTGCTCTTGAATCATTAATAAGAAGGACAGGATATTATTAAGAGAGAATTGCTTTCAACCCTTCTAATTATGATCAAGCAAATACTTCATAAGCCTGAAATACTTTGGATCTGTAGCAAGCCATGAGAATGATCACTCTGCCAAGATAGTTATCTGCTCAGATCTGAGACATAATTATGGCCAGTGAAACTCCTAATCTTGAAAGACCTTCGATTTAATTCTTTATGCTATCAATCTCCCTCTCTCTCTGGATTTCCTCCACATTGCATTTGGCATGATTAACTGTAAGTGGGGAATAGGTCCACAGAATTACATGCCATCTGAACTGGGACAAGGAAGGATTATTCAGCACATCATGTAAGAGAGACAACTTTAACATTAACCGCTTGTGTGCTGGGATGTGAGGCAATCACAGGGGCAAAAATCCATTATAGATGGCATACCAGATAGACATGCAGGGAGAGGACCAAGCGGATGCCAGTGCTCATACTGCACATTGGTAGCATTAAGCTACTTGATACTGAAGCCGTTTCTCCAGAGGAAGCAGAAACCAAATCAAGAAAGAACAACTTCCTAGTCATGTCACTGGGATCCAGTCACTGCAAGAGATAATAGAATTGTGGTAAAATCATTAGATATGGCAGTGCTACCAGAAGCCAGGCTGACGTTCCAGGCAGACCACATACCTAAGCTTCAAAATATATGCTGAAATATTTTTGGAGAAGATGGCTGGCAGTGAGGACTGAACATAAGTTCTGAGCAAGAGTTACAGATCTGGTAACTCAAACACAGCAGCAGAATTACGGATCCATGCCAGTGGGCACCACAGGGCTATAGAACTACCACACACTCACAGGTTACTAACTGTAAATAACAAACACTGTGTGAAGCTGATGTGACAAATTATATCATCGAGTCCAGTGATTAGAAACTAGGAGTGTAAACTATAATCTTTGACTATGGGATGCTTAGAATGCAGGTTGATTTGTGTTCTGCATTCTTGGTTAGTCCATGAGGTTCCAACCCTAAATCACTCAGTATGTGACATGCAGACTTCTCATGTAACAATTACCTCTTCTCTTGGATTTCAGACTATAATGGAAAAAAAATAATCCTATTGTGACATATCTCATCTGGCAAAACATATCAGCTCTGTTTGGCCAACACGACCAAGAGTTTCAGCAGATCTACATTCCTTAATTAGAGACTGAATCAAATTCTGGTGTGATCACTTAATGACCCTTGGGACCATTACTGATTTTTGTATCATTTCTGAAAGTGTCTTATTGTTGTTTTCACAGAATCATCCAGCACGCATTGCATAAACAGCTAAGATGACAGGGTGTTCTCATGGCAGAGAATTTAAGATGACAGAATGTCTTGGAGAACATAAGCATATTCCACACTATTGCCATACGGTTGTATTTTAACAGCAAGAAAAGAAAAAAAGCAAGGTTTCTTTTATAAGAAAGATCCATCTGTAAGTGGGCTATAGGCCCAGCTTAGCAAATCTGTAAACCTGCCTTAAAACACAAACTAAATTTAAGTGAAAGCAACTGGCTTGTCTCCATCTAGCTGTAGAGTGCATTTAATATAACTGCAGCTAGAAAGACAGTCCATAGGGCAACTGGAGTCTCTGATAGATGCTTATCAGCAGAGCAGCAGGAGAATTTAGGGGTACTCTGAGATTTTCCACACCACAAAACATTACATATACTAATTTTAAGAATAATTTTCAAAGGTTCTCACATCCTAGCTTTAAACACACTGGTGGGGAAGCAGATCTGAAACTCAAAAATCTCCTGGTCTTTTCTCATTTGTTGAGTCATGGAGTGCCATTGGTCTGTGATGAATTGATTTGATATTGACAGATGCTGAATTATGAAACCCTATGGGTAGAAAGAGCTTCAACATCATTGTATTTTATTAGCTGCTGCAATTCTGTGCCAGTATGAAATACTCATTTTGGCAATCACGCAGCAAAATAATCAATATTTAATATTATTACTAAAAATATTGGCAAGTTATATCTTTCAGCCATTTCAAACATTCAGATAATTCTCCTATTTACTTCTGACATAAAAAAATTTATAAATAAATCTATTTCCTTTCAATTACCAATCTGAAGAAAATTAATTTGCAAAACAATGTACTGTAGCATTTCTGAAATACTGTTCCCCAAAACAGAAATTGAAATCTCTACAGTACAGGGTTAATTACTTTGTATCCAGTGCAAGAATAGCTCCACTTGTAGTAGGAAGGTTATGATCATTTATCTGCATAAACGTGTAGAAAGCTGCATTCTATGTGCCTGCACTGCACTTGTGAGAAGAACAAAAAAACAACTTCATACTGCAGTGTAACAGGTCATTAATTTTTGAGAGCAACTATCTCCCTCTGTTAAACTCCAATCTATTTCCTCTTTTCCCCTTCCCCTCCAATTTGTCTAACATACAATATTCTTCATGTAAATCTTAATGAATTTATTGACGAAAATGTTTTGGTCTAGTGGTGAACTCTGTAATTTGCTGTGGGAGAATATTCATCCCTTGCAGGTGCTTCTGGGGGAACTCTGTTGTTTGGTGTGGAAGTGGAGCAAACAGAAAGTACAGCACTCATTAAACCAGATTGTGCAGCCAAGAATAAACCTCTACCTCATTCAGGTAGATTCTGATTTTTTCCATTTCCCTTTTTACAACACTGAGCTTAACACAAGAGAGTGTGCCAGCAGCTGCATCTATGATATTCAGATTTCTTACCAGAGCTGAAGTGTCTCAGAAATTCAGTGTTTGCTTTTTGCTTCCAAGTGACAAGGATAAAAGGTACTATCTGCACTCATCACTAAAGGCTTATTTTTGCAAGCAATTAATCTCTGTCTCAAATTAGTTGAGTTTCTCTTCATAATAAATTTAAATCATATTTAATAAGAAAATTCTTATTATTAAATTTATTACAAAAATTCTTACTATATTTCATTTATTTTCCATACTTAAATGTAAAAAAAAACCAACCAACCAACAAACAAAAAACTTACAGCAACAAAACACAGCTATTAATTCTTATTCAGATTTATTTCAAAGCAGTAAAGTTTTTTCCCTTGGTTTCAATAAACAATTCCAAGCAGGGATTTTTGATGACTTTTAATGAATTCACTACCTTATTATTAAGAACTGCGCTCATTTCAGCTCTTGCCTGCAGAAGTTTTAAGAGATGTCAGATCCTAATTCTGAAAATAATTCCCAATATTTCCAAAGTATTTCAGATCTAACCGAAGCTTAATGCTGAGGTGAAATCATCAAATCAGCCAATTGAAAGAGTAACATCCCTGACAAAGCAAAAGCACTGGATGGACACAAATAAAGTTCAAACTCACATACAAAGGAAAAACACAGTGGAAATTATTTCAGTAGGATTTTCCACTGAAAAGAGGCAAGATACTACAGGAGATAGATACAAAACAGGGGGTGACAAATCACAGGTCTGCAACTCCAGACTGCGCATCGTTAGTCCCAGGTTTGGGCTAAGATAGCCAGCACCTCCACACAGGGTCTTGCAGTGCACAAAGCCTGGGCTGTTGCCTTTGAAACCATCCATCCGCTCACAGAAGCAAGAACAGTGCAGCACAGAGGCATCAACATCATTTAGCAACAGGTTTAGATACACCATCAGTCTAGTCATTTGTCGCTGCAGCTTGTTAGTAATCTATTTTCCCTTCTGAAAGCTTTACCAGCAGAATTCTCAAGGGATCCCAGTGGCAGCCCAAGTACCCAGCCAGGTGAGGAATCCCTGAAATGCAACGATGCCACTCCTGTGAGTAAAAGGAGCCTAAACTCTGTACAGTGGGACAAACATCAACAGGATGTGGATTTCCAAATAGCCTAGTAGGCTGGCTTGCTTAAAATTAATGCAAGCTCAAAGGAAAACTAAACGCTTGGGCTAACAAAGGCCACCACGTAACTGATAAATGGGTGTTCAACTGTAGAGACAGTTGAATTCTACTCCAGGGAGGAAAGATGACACAGCATTCAAAAGTCATGGGAAGGAATACCAGAAAACGAACAAGAAAGTGGCTATGATTGTCTAACATGGACAAAGTCTTCTAAAGAAATTTAAGTCCTGAATCTGGGGACTCTGCATCCAACAGCTGGTGAGCGACAAGGTGATTGCCATACACATTGCCCTGGCAGCAGAAAACTGGCGTTGGAAGTACTCCTTCCCCAAGAGTGGACTGTGTCTTGCTCTTGAGGAGGACTTTGCTGA